GAATTAAATAGTGTGATGTTTGGATTGATATCGTGAAATCCCCTGCCTGGAAATTGAGCTGGATTATTGTTTGGTTTATACATCTTTTCCCTAAAGAAGTTAAACTCAAAACCTATTCCAGGTAGCTCAGTACCAACTAAGAAAAAAGCACAAAAGTTCTCAGAGCTCTTGAGGAAAGTGGTTGTCCCAATATCCTTGTGCAGGCCTCTGTCCCTCCCTCCCACTGTACATAGCACCGCACCCCTCATTCCACCCTGGGGAATAGAGGGATCAGAGTGGTATCTCTGGCTCACACTAGGGATGATCAGCTAATAAAAGCTTTGACTCCCTAAGGAAATGTCTCTCCCTTTGTCTGGGGTGGGGCAACCATACTAGGCTGGGTTTTTCCAAGGCACAGTCCTAAGTCCCTAGCACCAAACATTCCCTCCTGCTCTTTGCTATTTCCTTGGACTCCTTTTGGTATAGTGGTCCCACCAGCCTCACTCCCTGACTGGGTTACCTGAAGCACAGGGTCACAAGAAAGAGGAGGTGGTTCCACTCAGGGACTGAAGCCAGTCTGACTCCAGTCGCTGGTGCTACAGAGCTGTCAAGAGAGATTGTCTCTCTGTCCAGAATAGGCCTTCAGATCCACCTTGATTGTGTTCAGTGGCATCCATTTCTTTTCATATTTGCCCTCCTTTCCAGGACTTTTATATGGAAGTGCCTCAGCTCCAGAGGCCAGGGTGGTGGGAGTTTAAGAGCCCGACATGTTAGACAAAAATCTAGGCTAAATGTATTTGAGAGGTCCCAAATACTCTGACTTAATAAGGTGGGTATTCATTTGCTTCTCACCCAGTTTCTTTTCATCTTGTGCCTCCGCTGTTCCTCAGAATGTTGTATTTGTCCTCGTGGTTGAAACTGGGTCACTGCTGTGTCCATACTCCCAACACAAAGTGGGGAGAGAGCATGGAGGGCAGGCAGCTTCATTTTTCAGGACCTTTGTGCATTTGAGGCAGAAGTTATACTTTTCATTTCCACTCATATCCCATTGGCCTAAATGCAGTTACATGACCTAGCTACCGCAGGTGCTACAAAATATGGTCTTTAGTTAGGGACACAGCTGGGAGGGTGGGTCTGTCCACTGCCCTCCTAGTCTCTTGTAGCAGCTCATCACAGCACTTGGGAAGTGAATAGGTCCCCATGCAGTCAGTGCAGGGCTAAGTGGGGGTGAGACTGTCAGGAGTAAGGGGTAGGACCCCCAAACTGGGGCCATGAAGCCCCCTCAGAGATCAAGGAGCTGTGGTCCTGGAGGAGGTGGGTCCTGAAGTGGACACTCAGATGAGTAAAAGGAGGGACAGGGCAAGTGGAACCGCATTGTGCAGGGGCCTTGGAGGTCTGTGAAGCTGCAAAAGACTCCTCAGCTCCATGAGGGGCACCAGGTTCTGTAGCACATAGTTGGGATGTTTGTGTGAAGGAGGGTAGTGTGCAGAGGGGCCCTGAGAGGCTTCTGTGGGGAGGTGAAAAAACTTTCAAGAGATGAGCATGAGTTACATTAGTCTTTCTGTAAGGAACAAAGGAACTCCAAGAACTCAAAACTCAGTACGTTTTTTTGTTTTGAAACAGTGGTAGATGAATTAAGCAAAGACAGAGTTAGGAATTTCTAAAGAGAGGTACCGTGTTTGGGGAGGAGATCTTGCAGACCATCCTGCTGTGCCTCTTGGAGATCAATCAAATGCAGGCAGATGGAGAAGGGCTAGTGTGGGGTCAGCACATCATTCAACAAACAAGGGAGACCATTACGAGTTGAGTTCCTGTGCTACCTCTCCTCTGGCTGATGCTGCAGAGCAGGTATATAGCCGCTGTGGCCCCGCTAGTTGTCTCCTGGAGTCCACAGTGATTGGTTGGTGGCAGGGCTAGTACTTTACCACTCTGGTTGCTAAATGAATGCCTTCAAGCAGGGCTGGCTCCTTGCTCCCTTTCTCATCCTCACCTTGCAGTGTAACCCCAGCCCTCTTCCAGCCTTTCTTACTTTGTTTTATTCATGGCACATGTGGTTGCAAGAGGCCTAACCCAGCGAGAAATCGTTTTGGCTAAAAGGAATACATATGGGAGTCACAAGGCACAATTGTGTGGGAAAGGCCTGAGTATTGGGGAGGAGGACTTATCAGAAAGGGGAGAGTACTGCCTAGGGCCTCACCCCACCCACACCCTCAGCCCTGTCTCCTGCCACTCTAAGACCTCACTTCATCACCTACTCTCTACTGAGTCTTCTGTTTCCTTCATAACTCCCCTCCCCCAGACACAACAATCTAGTTCATTTTGTAAAAAAGAACTTCCCCAGGCCTAAGTTCTTATCCTTTACGATCTGTGTAGTGGCTTTTCTGACTTTCGTCTTCACTCTGGCTGCTCCTTTGAGATCTCTGTCCTCAGAGGTGGGATGCCTAAACTCTGTATCCCCTGCTTCCTGAACTTCTCCTGTGCACTGAGCACCCAGGGCTCCCACCTCTTGTCCAGCAGTCTCTGCCCCCACATAGAGTCACCCCCACTATGCCTGTCCCTGCTCCCAGGCCGCTGGTGAACCTATCGTCCTTCTGCAGGGCCACCACTCGGGGCCCTGTCCCTCCTCTGCTTTCAGCACTGACTAGGAGTATTTCCCTGACAGGAACAAGTCCATGTCCTGGGCCTGAGCTCTAGGAGGAGCTCAGCCCAGAAACACACCCACTGCCCTCAAGTGGATTCAGACTCAGGGACACTACAGGACAGAGTAGAGCTGCTCCTAGAGTTTCCAAAGCTGTAAATCTTTACAGGAGCAGACAGCCTCATTGTTCTCCTGCAGAGCAGTTGGTGGGTTTGAACCAACGACCTTGCAGTTAGCAGCTCAGTGCTCAACCCACTGTACCATTAGGGCTCCTTAGGAAGTGCTCAGTGGTAAACAAATGACTCCGCTCTGCCCAGAGAGATGCAAAGATGAATTCCAGAGTTTACAATCTGGATAAAGCACAGGACCACAAGTTCAGTTTAAACCACAGGTCAGCAGTTCAAACTCACCAGTCACTCCTCAGAAACCTTAGTTGCTCTGGTGTGGGTTTTATTTTGTTGTTTTCTTGTGGGGTTTTTGATTTTTTCTTCAGAAAAAGTTATAATCAAACTATAAAAAAAAATAAAAGTGCCCCCATTCCTCTTTTAAAGCAAATGTCAGAGACTTTGAATAAGGCATTTCTGTGAAGCCAAACTAGAATTTAGCTAGTTTATTGAACTCAGAGTCATATTTACTAAACAAAGCAAATGTCCCAGAAATCATTTGATTGACCCATACAGATAATAACAAAGTCTGTGTTTCCCAAAACAGTTTAACTGAACATACAATCCATACAAATATTTAGAGTCTGAAATTCAATGTGCCTGCCCTGCTGAGAGCCCCCCAGTACCTGGGACTGATAGTGGCCAGTTTGCCGAGCTCCTATGTGACTCAGTGATTTTCACCACCACAGTGGAAAGTCTGACCCTGGGGCTCACATTGACTGTTCAGCCCAGGTCTGGAGATTGGCTATTAACCCTGTAAACAGGCCTCTGACCCCAGAAGCTGGGGCTTGCGGTACACAGCTGAGCCTGTGACGCAGACTGGGAGGTGGGGGCTAGGACCTTTTCAGGCAACTGTCTTGCATCCACATGTGGTCCCAGGGTGAGCTCCGAACAGAGGGGGCTGGAGCCTGGAGTGGCAGAAGTACCCCTTCCCTTTGCTGGTAGTACCAGAGACTGCACTGCCCCCTCGGCTGCCACATACACACACCCTCTCTCTCTCTTGTAGGCAAGTACTACCCACCCAAATCTGCCCCACCTGGAAGGGCATAGCCCTCATGTCCAGGTGTGTTAGTGATAATTTAACACCCAGTCCAAACCCTTAGCCAGAGTGGGGGTGGGGTGGGGGGTTTCACAGCCTCTTCTCCCAGATCACTTATGGGGCTTCTGAGCTCCCCATTCCCTGGACCCCACTTTTCCATTTGGGGTGCCTGGGACTGGGTGGGAGTCTAAATCCCCTAGCATTGCCCCTCCAGGCCACCAGTTCCACTTTAAGCCAAAGAGCTTCAAGCTTCTAGATCAAGAGCTAGAGGGTGCAGCCCAGGAAGTGGGAAGATGAGGTTTAGCACAGGACATCCAGGGACTTGAGGCCTCTGGGAAGGTAGAGCTGCATTTGCCTAGTGACCCCAGGGCAAGACTGCCTGGTGTGTGCTAGGGGGCTTGATACTGAGGGAGGGAGCTGACTGGTGAGGTGCCTTACTCCATCTTTCAAGACGTCACTGGCATCTGGGCTGGTGGGGACAGGGGCGGAGCCTCCTTACCAATAAATCCCAGGACTGTCTGCCGGGGGTCCCTGCTGCCTGAGGAGCCTCCTTGTCTACACTCTTCCTTGGTGAGTGAGGGGGCTGCCCTCCCCTAGGCCTGGAGCTGCTGAATCAAGTCTAGCCTGGGTGTTTGGGGACACAATGCCTCTCTCCCCCTTCCCAAGCCCCTTCAGTGAAGATCATCCCAGAGAAGCTTTTCATCCTTCCTCTCCCCCACAACTCCACCATCCAGACCTTTCCCTACTGCCCCAGCATGGGAGGGACAAGGGGTAAGAACACATACCCTACCACCACCACATATGCCATGTCCCCAGCTGCTGCCACAGAGAAATAAGCAGAGGGTCTCTCAGCACCAGGTGAGAACTCTGTACAGCCTGAAGTCTGTTCTAACCCTCCTTCCCATTCTGGAGCTCCTAGATGGACAGAGGGGTGGGCTGGACCACATGTAGGGTCCTCAGAACTGGCAATGTTTAGGTAGCTTCTGTTACTCCAGCCCTCTGGGAAGGTTGGTTCCCTGGAGCATCCTCCTCTGTGACCTGCTCAGGGAGTCCTCAGGGCCCAAACCCCTGCAGGCTTGAAGTGAGCTGTCAAAGGGGAACCTAGAGGAAAAGAAATGGGGAGTATATGTGGGGAGCCAGACTCGAGTACTGTTCACTGTCCACGGAGGAGCAGCCCTGCATGGCCAACCACAGGCTAGACCTCCTCCTGTTGCTGCTGCTGCTGACCACCTACCCTGGACCCATGAAGGCTCAACACTGGTCCCATGGCTGGTACCCTGGAGGGAAGCGAGCCTCTATCTCCCCCTGGGGCCTCCAGCAGGCCCCTGGAGTCCCAGGTGGGTGACAGGCCAACTCAGCCTGAAGGGGAGAAAGTGATTAAGAAGTGTTGGCTGAAGCCCTCCACCTACCCTGAGCCTGGGGTGGGCTGGGGGACTGGCAGCTGCTCAGGCTCCCTTCTGAGGAAGAGTTCCTGGGCACTGCATCCAGACAGCCCAGGCCAGACTGTCCACAGCCTCCCCAGTGATACCCTGACTCCACCTGAAGACAGTGTGCCCTGGGAGGGCAGTGCAGTGCCCCAGCGGCCCCTCCGTGGGAAGCAGCGCCTGGTGCAAACCTTGGTGAGTAGGGTGAGAGGCCTCCAGCATTCAAGCCCAGCCACTGGTCACCGCGGCAAAAGGCTGGGGGAAATGAGACACCACTGGGATACCCCTGCCGCAGCCACCCTGTTTCTGTCCTTGCTGCACACAACTACCCCGGGAGAATTCTAAGCCATGTTTGATACGATACTTCGTTAAAAGAGAAGATCTATCGTTGAAGATAAAAGCAGTAGCTGCACATGCAGGCACTGAAATGAGGGTCCAACGGTACATAGACTATAGGGCTCTAGGAATGACTTGCAGGCTGTAGAGCTCTCCAAGACCATAGCCGAGAACTGACACTTCCCACAAAGGTGTGTACAGATGCCTTGGGTGGTGGTGGTTATATGCCGTGGAGTCAGACTCACAGCTACCCTGTACAGGGTTTCCGAGGCTGTAAATTACGTGAGCCTAAAGCCTCATCTTTGTCCCGCGAAAACAGCTGGTAGTTTCGATGAGGTTAGCAGATTCGTAACCATTACGCTATCAGAGCTCCGTGACAGGTGTTTTACTATTCTGCCAACCAAACCTTTAAAAAAAAAAAGAGCACCGGGGTAGTACAATAAATAAGAGGTTGTTGTTAAGTGCCGTCGAGTCAGTTCCGACCCATAGCGACCCTGTACAGGGCTTCCGAGGGTGTAAATCTTTACAGGAGTAGAAAGCCTCATCTTTCTCCCGCGGTGCGGCTGGTAATTTCGAATCGCTGACCTTAAGGTTCGCAGCCCTATTCGTAACCACTACGCTGAGAAAGTGGTAAATTCCCATAGGGCAAAGCTGCATCGCCTAGGTCGGTGTGAGCTCTGATTTTTACGTATCAGAATGTTTGTGGTGGGCAACGCAACTCCCCACGCTGAGTCCTCAAGGTCTCCCCAGGACGAGTCCTTCGGACCCATAAAGCAGGGCGACCCGTGGCTCCGGGAGGTAGGGAGAGCTCGGCGGGCGGAGGAATGACCGGCCCTCTTCCTCCGCAGACGGGACTCCGAGCGCCGCGCCCCGCCCCGCCCGCCCTTCAATAAAGATGTGAGGTCCCCGAGCTGTGGCCTTGACTTCTCGCCTTCGTCCCACTCTTTGTCAATCCCCTCCCAGGACCCTACCCCGCGTGTGGGCTGGGGGGCGGGACAGGGCCTGCAGGGAAGATTCAGCCCGAGGGCGGCAGAGTCGCCGCTCCGGCTGCACAGCCCGAAAGGGCTGGAGAAGGCGGCAGCGGGACAACGCCACATTCGCGCGGTCTCTTGGGAAAAGGGTGGGAAGGCGGGGCCCGGGGACTGCGCGTCCCATGCTGCCCCGCGGCTCCTTCCGGGTCACGGTGATGCCACGGCGGCGTGCTGGATGCAGTGAGCCAATTTGGTCATGCTGCGCACGCTGAGCGACCTGGCAGCGCGGCCCCCGTGTCGGGCCCCAGCCCTGCTCTTGGTTCCCGCGCGCGGTCGCAAGACTCGTCATGACCCGCCGGCCAAGTCCAAGGTTGGGCGCGTGGCCACCTCGCCCACCGTAGATCCTGTGGAGCTCTTCGTGGTGACCGAGCGTTATCGGGAGTACCGCCAGACCGTGCGCGCCCTCAGGTGGGTGACGGGAGGTGGGGTGGGTATGGGCGCCAGGAGGGTGCCGACTGTAGGCGCGTCTCCCCTTAGGCTGGAGTTTGTAGCTGAGGTGCACAGGAAGCTGCGCGAGGCCCGAGTCGGGGTTCTGGCCGAGCGCAGAGCCCAGGAAAAGGCCGCTGAGCACCGGGAGCTGATGGCCTGGAACCAAGCGGAGAACCAGCGGCTGCACGAGCTGCGGTAAGTGGCCGAGTCGGGCTGGGCCGCCAAGCCACTGCCGGGAGACCCAAGCACGCTCAGGCTCGGCCTCTCACCTCCCATAGGACAGCGAGGCTGCGGCAGAAAGCGCGGGAGCAGGAGCGGCGGCGGGCGGAGGAGCAGGCCCGCCAGGCCCTAGAGGAGCAGGCCTGGGTGCAGCTCAAGGAGCGGGAAGTGCTGCAGCTGCAGGTGCGCAGCGTTTCGGGGTTGGGGCGTAGGGGACAAGTGTCCTTACAGCGGCGGGGGGGTGGGGCACTGGCGTGAGCACACCCCAAACCAGCGGGAGAGACCCAAGAAGTCCACAAGGAGTTTGGTATCTTGCCTTACAGGTGATAAAGTCATGAAAAAGTGAAATAATCTGGGCTGGGCTTGAAAGGTGTTAAGATTTAAAATCATGGTGACCACTTAAGAGTAATACCATAAGAACGGATGAGGCTTAATTAATACCCAAAACCACTCCTGTAGTGTCAGTTCTGACTTACAGAGACTTTTAGGTAGAATTTCTGAGACTATAAAAACAGCCTCATTCTTGTCCTGCCCACTGGCTGGTAGGTTTGAACCACTGAATTTGCAGTTAGCCGTTCAACGCCTAATCCACAGCCCAATTATCATATAGTGGTTCTGGTGTGGCGCTGTGGATCAGCACTGGACTTCAAACCACAAATTCGGCAATTCAAACACAACAACTGCTCCTCGGAAACCCTCTACACAACTGACTCCCTGAAGTAAGCAGCAACTACTCTGTTTTATGACCACTGCAATCTTGGTTCAGCATGTAGTGGTAATAAAAGTACTAAAGTAATAAAATTTTGTCTAAGAGAAATTAAGAGGTGACCAGGCAGCAGTGAGGGACTGGTTTCACCCCGCAGGCATGAGATTAATAACCACTAGTGCTTGGGTTTGGGCTGAGGTGTCTGCACAATGGTTGTCCAAGAAGGGGAGCATGGCAAGGCTACCTAAGGACATTGTTCTAGAAGGTCAGTCGGACACTCACAGAGGACCTGGACTCCATGAGACCCTTCTCCAAGAAGAGCTGGAGTCTCTACATCAGTGGCATTGACTGAAGGCCAGTAGGCCCCATGGCTAGGCCCGCACGTCCTATAGCGCTGCCATTCATCTGTCTTCTCTCCCAATAGGAGGAGGCAAAAAATTTCATCACACGAGAGAATCTGGAGGTGCGGGTGGAAGAAGCTTTGGATTCACCAAAGAGCTACAACTGGGCTGTTACCAGAGAGGGACTGGTGGTCAGGCCACAGCACAAGGGCTCCTAAGGGGCCCAGTAATGACATAACCCTTCTGAGGACCATGTGAGTGGGGAGAGTCAGAGAGTTGGGCCTGCTCTGGGATAAACTAGTGGATGCCTCATTTGAGGAAGCCTCACCTGGTGCAATTGAACCTTCGCACTGGCCTCTGCAGCCACCATGTGCTCAGAAACTCCCAAATACGAGGCCCTAATTGTGCCCTCAGCAGCAGTCTTCATTCAGCACAGCCCCTACTCTAGAGTGGTTTCCTTCTCACTGAGGAGCTGGCTGGGTCACAGTCCTAAGGGCAGCAAGTATCCTAAGTATCATCAATGGTGGGAGACGGTAAATTACATCCCATGGGTTTATCTGACCCACTCTACTTTTTTTTCCTTTTTTTAAGGTGTTACTGTGAAGTTTACATGAGAGAACATCAGCTTTACACTCATCCTATTGTATTTTGTTTCATTGCAATGATTCTAGTTCCCTCCATGCATCATTAAATAACCAAAGGGTACACCACACAGGCCCTCCCTCCGTCTGCCAGCCCATAGCCCTTCTCCCTCCCTGAGTCCAATGTCCCCAGCCATTCCATCTGTCCATGTCATCTCGTCTCTGTCTCCATCCTTGGTGTGTCTGCCTTTCTGGGTACGGTGTCCCACTCTCCCTGCTTCTCACTTGATGGTCCCAGGGACCTCCACTCCTGGGCTGCAAAATCAATCACTCCCCTCCTTTTGTCAAAAAACATAAACCTCTATATTTCCTACCCTCACAATCAGTCCTGACAGCAGTTATTCACTATTGTACCACAAGAGTGGTACACCCGTTTCCTTTCGCCAGCCTGGTCCCAACAGATGGAAAATCATTCAGTGGTGATTCTACCTTCCCCCGCCCCATCTGGAACTAGGCTTCCTCTTGAAAGCCAGTCACTTCTTGCCTTTATAGGCCCCCCATTTTGGGTAGCCATTGTCTAAGTTGCCCATCCCTGTCAACCCTGTGTACTGAGAGGATGGGAATGATCCTCTCTTTAAAGATTTCTTTACTTTTTTGAGCTACCTGGTGTGCTGCTGTGGGTTAATGCTCCAGACTGCAAAAACATGCTCACCAGCTGCTCCTTGGAAACCCTATACAGGGTCGCTATGGGTCAGAATTGACTCGACACACTTAACAATAACAACACCATCCGTAAGTATAGGTAAAGTTCATCAAATTGTAGCAGGTTACTCTTTTTTTTTTCTTTTCCCTCTTCTAGTTGAGTTCTGATCATCTAGCCATCGAAGCCAGGTCAAGTGGTTACTATCTGCAAGTATGGGTGTTTTTGTGCATCTCCCCTCACTTCATATCAGCTCTATGCTTCACTCTCCGCTCTAGTCCTCTGTGGCCATGTCACTGCCTCTGGGCCCATGAGTCCCTGCGTCTTGCCATACTGCTGGCCATCCAGATCTCCACTCAGGTTCACAGGGGTCTATTGAATGTGGTCGGACTTAGCAGGCCACTTCATTGCTGTTTTATCCCCCTCTTCCCCTTATCGGTGACCATAGTGGTCACCAGCCAGACCACATGCCTACTCATGTCTTGGAAGGGGGTTTGCTCTGAGGGGTCCCGACCACTTGCCTTGATGGCTCCCGGGAAAACAGCTTACTTGTTCTTGGTAGTAATCAGACTGCCACTACTGTTTCGGATTTTTCCTGCTGATCTTTTCTTTCACGAAGTATCTTGTGTTCTTCTAGCCACTCCAGGCTGGTGTACTCATCCTTTCCAGTGGAAATTTCCTACCTCAGTCGGTTCTGGATGGGGTTCTGGATTCCACCTATTGACCCACTCTACTTTTGTAAATAAAATTTTACTGGAAGACAGCCGTGTCCATTTATTGACTACTTTCGTACTAGTGGGCCAGAAATGAGATGTTTCAGCATTGATCGTATGGCTTGCAAATCTAAAATATTTATTATATGGCTCTTTACAGAAAAGGTTTGCTAACCATTGGCCTAATAGTCGAGGACTGCAGCTAAGAACAGGACTTAACCCAGTACCGGGACTACAAGCTGACCATTGGCCAAAGGTCTGTCCTTGCTTGTTCCTGACCTTTGCTTAGCCAGTGTCTGGTGTGTCCCATGGCCTCAACACTCTGTGAGTCACTCTGCCCCAACACTCCCAGGTTTCTTGACCCACCTATCAAATTAGGTAAAATTGGCTTGTCAAGCATCTGAACCAAGTAGAAACCAGAAATATTTGTGATTGAGGTTCAGAAAGCTGAATAAGTGAGCATATAGATCCACAGCCCATATTCAGATGCAGGCCCTCCCTCAAGCAATATCTGAGATGGGGTTGTAGAGTATCTGAGCAGAGCTGCCGCCTTTCACTACCCACTCAACTGAACTTGTCAAATTACCACCAGAGGAAAGAATCGCAGCTTCTTTCCATAACCCACACTGAAAGGAGGACCTGGAACTCAAAGTGAAATTTCTGTTAGTGAACATAGCCAACCCTTTATGTTGTGAGGAAACAGGAAAAGGGACCCTGTGGTTTGCTTGTACCCATGCCATGTCAGGGTTTTGCACACCCAGAAGCAATGGCTTCCCTCTTCAGACCAGTGTAGCATTTCCCTCCTCACCACTGAGCCTGGCCAGAGCACAGGGTATTGGTAACTTCACTTGGGGGTGTAAGCTGATAACGTGTCACACTGAGCTATGCTCTAGCAACTATGTCTACCCTTTGGACTTAGTCATGGTGAGAAGAGCAGACCACCCAGTCCCTTTGCAGTGAAAGCCTTTGATGTGCTTTCACATGGGACACAGCCTGTGCCAGGAGGCCCAGCTACACATAATGTACTCCTTCCCCAACACCCTTACCCTTTGCCCAAGCTCCAGTGTATGTCCTTAATGCAGGCCCAGATCAAGAGAACTTGTGTAAAAAGCTCTGCCTTTGAGCTGATTTCCTGTCACTGCTGCCCTTCAGTGTTCTGCACGGGCTATACTCCTCAGCCGTTCACTGTTAGCTGATGCCAGTATGTCATATAAACCAAACCAGTATAGCTTCTGCTCATTGTCATCATACTGGTATAAACACAAGTAGGCAGCTTACTAGTACCTTCAGTCCCATGTGTACCTGCTTCTAGTGGGTGACTGCACAGGCAGACTATCAGATCCTACCCAATTCCATTTGTAAAGTTTGTGTGATGTCCAATAGTTGAATGCCTAATCTCTGGCTGGAACCTGGATAGTTTATTTG